AAGAAGCAGACCCAAAGATTCAAGTGAAAGTAGTTTATTTTCTAAGTGGAGGAATCACTGGAAGGGCAGTGGGTAAGTGGGACAAAGAAAGAAAGACAGCTAATAAAGATTCATGTAATCAAGCTAACTACAGAAGGAATAACCAGAACTTAAACCCTCTGGGGAAATTCTTGGAGCCATTTTGGAAAGCATATATCTCAGCATTATCTCACCAAGGGAACAAGAAAGGATACTGAGGTATTTATACAGCAACTTCCATCTGTCATTGGTTGAAGGCTGCTCTGGGGCTGCTAATTCACTGGCACTTCCAACTGGTCTTGCTGGAAGGCAGAGAAATTCAGGCCAGATCAAGTGAGTGGTAAGGGCAAGAGGGTGTGGGGACATTAACAACATCTGCTTTGGTGTACCCCTTACATTACTGAAGTCCACTCATTGCCCGGGTTAAGTTCTCTGATTGTTATCATTGATTCTTCAAGGTGATGCCTGGCTAAAGCATCTTAAAAAATATTATTGCAGTAGTGTTAGTTGGACAAGCTAGAATATCTCCTACTGAAATTATTCCCGAGTCTGCAAGTGATAATCATCATTACATCCTTCAATGACTTATTCCAACTTCACCTCACCCTCGACAATCACATCTTCTGAGCTATATTCCTTGCCCAGTGGAGTCACTGAGACATCCATCCTTGAGAAGTTGAACCCCTGGCTACCATTCCCTTCCTAGAATATTGTTATTTCTCTAGCCTGTTTATGGTTATTAACATTCATGAAGGCATTAAGAATTGCCCTGGTGAATCCCTTGAGTCACAGAAATACTCCTCCCTGCTCCCCTTAAGCAGTAGCAATTCCATCTTCTCAATAATTAGGGTTCATTAGCCTCACCAGTATATAACTCCTTTCTTTGCCTACCAGACTGCTGGCATGGAAAACTACAAATGACCTGATGGCAGCTGTAACATTAAGTTTATTGGGATTCTTGATGGTAGAGGTGTATGTACTCCAAACCACCCCACCATGGAAACCAGGACCTCTACTGCTACAGGGCCTATGGGGAGTTATGGGAATGGAAAATATAGATTCCCCAAGTGGATCATCAGGAGCACCAGTGAGAAGGGCCCCTTCTACTTTTACTCTTGACTGTCAGACTCATGTAGTTTATCTATTAGGAACGTAGTACCATATAATGACTATTGGTTCAAAGTAAGTATCAAATCCTGAAGGACAGGGCCCCAACAGCAATGTTATTACTGCTTTTGTTATTGTTATTCCCAAGATGTGCATTTTAGAGTCCATTCCAATGTTTCCTGAGTCTGACAGCATCTGCATGAAACATATAGAGTAGAATCAGTGAGTCCCATGGTCGTGGCAGTCTGAACCTACTACAGAGCCTTCTCTTGCTCTCAGCCTCATGCACAACCATGGTTGGAAGTCAGGCCCATATATACTGATATAGCTAAGATTTTTTTTTTTAACTTTCTACTGCAGTATGAGTTCATACTGAAAAATTGCAATAATTACAAGTGAATTACCTGATGAGTTTCCATAAAGTAAACACACCCAAATTTTGCATGACGTTTTCTATAAAAATAATTTGTTAGTTTCATAACCAGTAATGATTGAACCCTATTATTATATCAATTCTTACTACTAGGATTTGAAAAATTCTTTAGGCTAATTCATGCCCCAGAAATATAGCACTTATTAGAGTATAAGCCTAATAAAATCCAGCCATAAATTCATCCTGTCCCCCAATACAAGTTTTATAAGTTCTAGTAGATTTATAAATTTTAGTTCTCTTCTTTGTATTATAGTAGAATTCAACATGTACATATTTGAAACATATATAAAATATATATATATGTATAAAATTTCCCTTTCTGTCATTTTTTGTGAGGCTAATCTCACATTCACAGCTCTACCAGCTCAAAGGATGAGGGAACATATGCTTCTCCATATGCCCAACACAGACTCCTCAATGCATTTATTACTCAGAGCTTAGTGATTGAGGAATGTTTGTAATATTTTATTTTTCCTCATAGTGAGTCATTCTACTGTACATTTCAAAATCTGTGATAAGTTGAAAGATCCAAGAATTGAGTACATTTCAACACACAGTTTCCCATCTGGTAAATGAGGGGTTTTATTTATAATCAGGTATTCAAATGCAGTGGTATGAAATGACCTTCAAATTATTTTTGTTTTACTACACATCTAAAGGGCTAAGCAAATATACTAACCCCCTTCAATCCATTCTCCATACTTTAGCCAGATCAGGAAACTCATTTACCTTAAATTCTTCAACTGGTTCCAGATCCCCACTTTGCCTAATGAGGCCCTCCATGATCTGTCTCCTGTCTCCTTCTTCAGATTGCCTCTCAACAACCCTCTCCTTTTCTGCACTCCGTCAAACTGGATCTTTCTGTTTATTAAAAGTATCCTTAAATCAACATTCAACCCATGCAAAATATACAGGTAGGACATCTTTAAAAATTAAGTCACTTTTAATATATAGCTTACTACCATATATAGCTTGTTACCATATAGCTGCTTTCCATCTATTGAAGTCCAACCAAGTATCTAGAAATCAGCACTTGGGGGTTAGGATGGGAACAGGACAGCCATTGTGAAGATCTGCTTCAATGTTTTATTGCAAAGACTCACCTAATGTAGTAAGCCTTTGGTACTGTTTGAAACTTCTGCGAGAGCCAGACCAGCCTGAGAGTACCCAAAGTAATTCAGAACTCCTCAACTGAAGGGCTTGATTCCTCTGGCCTGAGAGTTAGGTTTAACTCCCTGCTTTTCTCTTCAGCACCCACCTAGGGCAGGAGTTTTCCTAGCTCAGTGACCATCAATTACCCAAGAGATTTCTCTGTTTTAACTTATGTTATCAGAGAATCTTATGTGGGAAGTTTGAGTGGGTCCAAAGTTCATCTGACTCTGAAGGATTTTTGCATCGTAATGTGAGATGCCAAGCCAAGCCAAACCAAGGGGAGGTGCTTTAAAATTTCATGTTATATCTTCAGATCCTCTCACTTTGCTTAAATCAGCCTTTTGACGAAGTGTCCTCTTTTTTAAAAAGAGTTTGCCTACCCATCTGTGAACATATGAGTCAATCAGTTAACATTTACAGAGCCCTTAAATGTGCTTAGTTTACTGGTGGGAGGTTTAGGGTTATAAAACGAGCATCCTGACAAGGCCTGACTCTGAGTGGACAAATAAAGCTTTATTTGATGAAATAATAAAGTGCTAAAAATGTGTATAATTGCCATAAGTGCTTTAATTCAGAGTGATAGAGACTCCTATGCAGAGAAATTTTTAGTTAACCCAACACAGAGAAAGTGATATATTTATTGCAAATTGAAGGATGGGTAGGGTTAAGGTAAGAAAAGGGTTGTGGAGGGGTGCCTGGGTGGCTCAGTGGGTTAAGCGTCTGACTTCGGCTCAGGTCATGATCTCACAGTTCGTTGGTTCGAGCCCCGCGTCGGGCTCTGTGCTGACAGGCTGACAGCCAGCTCAGAGCCTGGAGCCTGCTTCAGATTCTGTGCCTCCCTCTCTCTCTGACCCTCCCCTGTTCAGGTTGTGTGTCTCTTCTCTCTCAGAAATAAATAAAATATTTAAAAAAAAAGAAGAAAAGGGTTGTGGGGAGTTCATTGCATGGGTTGCAGCCAAGGTGGAACCAACCTGTAAGGGCACAGAGGCACAGACAGAGGAGAAATGATATCAATTAGACTTGTCCCTACTGTCCATGCTCCAGAAAGTACTGCCTACCACATTCATTCTCACACCAGAGTGGCCATCATATTCCACTAAAACACAGATTTCTGCAACCCACCTCAGAATTTCTGATAAGATGAGGCCTGGGAATTTGCATTTTAAATAAGTTCTCAAGTGATGCTGATGCTGCTGGTCCAGGGCCCAACCTTTGAAAACCACTGGCTAGACTACACTCCTAACTGAATGGTTCACCACTCTGTAAATGTCATCTGGAAATTATGCGACAAATCATCTCTCTCAGCAATACCCTTTGTTCTGTTGCTTTCTGCTCCCAAGCATATGGTGCTCTCAGTCACACCTTTCCATTTCAGTCACATCGTTCCTTCCCAGTGCCACCCTATTCCTACAACCCTTATGGTCGCAACCAGATTGAGTTCGATCATTTCCTGCCTTTTCTGTTGTTGTGGTTATAAGTTGATTTCAGATGTTGTGATCTTCAGCCAATCTAAACTTTGAGATCTTAAAAGGAAAAAGTGAAAATAATGTTATCAGTTTTCAGTTTCTACTTTTACTTCCTTATCTCGTGCCAATTCATTGGTAAATTAATGTAGTAATGTGGAGACCTAATTTTGATTTTTCTATTCAACACTGATAATTACTTCCCAAGTAGAAGCTTATTTGCCTTGGATTTATTTCTCTTTGATGAGATGATTACCCAAGTAGGTAGCAGTGTGATTGTTATAGTGGCTCTGATAATTGCATGTTGATTTAAGGCTTTAGGTATTAAATAATTAGATTACAGTTGACCCTTGACAGAAGCTTTGAATTCCTTTAGTTTTATCAGCAATCACAGTACATGGCCAATTGCAAGTAGTCAAAATCCACTGTAGCTTTCTTTCCGTGAATAATGAAAGGAGTTAATAGCACATAGTAGGCACTCATTATTTGGTGAATGAACAAATAAATAAATTAAAATAAATGCATAAATAATTTCAATTTGCTCTATGAAACAAAAACAGACATAGTCTTGTGAAATATAGGCATGGTTATTTTGTATCAGTTTTAAATTTGGCAGGCTACCAAATGTTAATTTACTTTTAGCTACTTGAGATTAAATGTAATTCCTTCCCAGAGCAACCCTAAAGTAAGCAAGCATGAAAGCATTTTCAGAGTAATCTAGGAGGAATTGACATTTAAAGGAGTTAGCATTACATCTGTACTTTAAGGCTATTAATTTCATAGATAAATTAACTTCATTACTCTATCTTTATCTTACATTTTGAAAGGGCTCCGTCATCTGGACGACTGACAGCCGAGGGTCAATTGAAACTGCTCTTATCCCAGCCAGATTGTAATTGGAACCTGCTTCTGGAAACCCTACTGCATCAAGATGGTCTTTTACTGAGAATCTTGCTGAAGAGCTCAAGTGAGTATTTGTAGTTATGAGAATGTCCTCAAAAAGCCCAGTCATTGCTCAAGTTGAATGAATTTTTTTTTCCGACTTGAACATTGGCAGAGGGATTTAAACCAACTGCCTTGCATCAACAGTCAGTGGGGTTAGCTGCAAACAAAATATTGAATCACTTTATAAACCTATTGAAAAGATTCTTTTTCAGTACCTTGGAATGAGGGAAAATAATCTTTTTATGTGGTTCTAGTCTATCATAACTTTCATTATATAGAAATATATTAACCTCTGGGGTTTGAAATGCCTAAGAATATTATACAAATATAGTTGAATGTCCAAAATAGAAGTCTCAACCAGATCTGAGAGAGAGAGAGAGAGAGAGAGAGAGAGAGAGAGAGAAATTACATTAGAACTACACTAGAAATTTCAGTGAATCATGAAGAGGGCTTATGTAATTCATAAACAAGCAAGCTGTGGCTTACAGCCATATCCATTGGGGCATGGAGAAGTCATTGTAAGAAAAGTATGAATGGAAATTGAAGAGTAATAGAAGACCATACTTCTCTTAATTAGAGTTCCTTTTTTTCCCCTGTAAGTGCTATTTTAGAAAATAGTAAGTGAAATTATGCCAATCTAATTATATTCCACTGCTCTCCTGCTATATCTATGAAGAGTGTTCTAGCCATTTTCACATACCTCTATGCATTTCTTTTTCTATTCTATACCCTACATGAAGCCAGGTTAACTTTATCAATCGCTAGCTTCACTGTAGGTTTCATGCATCACATTCTTTTTTTTTTCTAGCTCTTCATCACCTGAAGGACCTAATTCCCATCCATCTGCCATTCAGATGTGACCCAAAAATAGTTTTCTAACCTTTATCCCCCAACTATTCACTTGTGTGCAAACATGATGTGTGCACACACATGCACACTTATTTCATCCATTGTCCTCAAAGTCACAAGTCACATGCACATGCTCCCTCCATACCTTGGCTCACCCATATTTCTCTACTTGAAAGACCCTCCATAGACAACTCAGCCTCCACCAGTAGTGTCCAAGGGCCAGTTGATGTTCCAGATCTTTGAATGTTTTAGTTGACACTGATCTCTTCCTCCCCTGAACTTCACAGTGTTTGTTATCTTGGCTATTTATTTGCCCTTAGTATATGCTGCCTTATGTTGTTGTTATGTTTGTGTATAAATAAATCAAATGTCACCAGGCCCTATCATCCTGTTGGTATACAAATGAGGCTCATAGTATTCCCCTGTCCAGATGGCACCAGTCATTTCTGGGAATTTTTCATTCCTCAGATATACGCACAACCAGTTCCCCAAAAGCCACTTACTTAGGGGAAGCGCTTTGCTGCTGATCCCCTTGTGAGACTACTGCTTCTGTGCAGGTGCTCTGAGCCTCATAAAATCTTGTGGTGCCAAAGGTCACTCCAACTCCTTGTCTTGCTCTGTTCTAAGCAGAAATTTAGAGATTACTCCTCTCCCAAACCCTGAATCCCTGAATCTCACTTTATTCCCTTAGCCCCCAAAGCGTACTGTTTGGGCCTCAAATCTCACAAAGTTGGTCTGAAAGCAATTTTGTTAACTGAAGGCTGTAAGGCCACTCTCCTAAAGAGAAAACTGGTACCAGGGAAATACTTCCTTCAGTAGCCAACTTTTATTTTATGCTTATTAGGTGTCAGGTGCTGCACTAAGCACTTCACTTTTGATTCTTACAACCTAACAAAGTATATACTATTGTTTCCCTTATGTTAAAAGTAATGACTTTGAAGTTTAAGATAATGTTAACTTGCCTAGAGACACACACAGCTGATAAATGGTGGGTAAGCCTGGATTCTGAACCCAGCTGGAACTTTGTGTCCCCTTCCCTTCCCGTGTAAATACTCACACAAATTAAATCCTGGAGTGGGATAGGGGGCTCTGGAAGAACTTTAATCTGCCCACTCTCAGGCTGAATCAACCGAGACATTCTAATGCATATGTCTTTTCAGTTAAGCAATTAGGCTGATCACAAGCTTTTATATTCCTTTGCAAGATAGCACAATGGTTTATACAAAAAGTCTACTGATTGGACAATCAATGATCAGTTAGAATATAAAATACAGAGCTTCCCTTAAACTTGATAATTTGGGATTTCAGGCAAAGTGGCTGACATGAATACTATCTGCCATGGCTGCAGAGTTACTCTAATACAATCATAGAAACTCACAGGCATGGTCCCAGAAGACAAATCATCTCCTATTGATAGAGTTATGTAGAGCAGCCTGGAAAATCAATTGTGATCAAACTTTTTGACTATAACTATATGGCCACTAAGTATAGCAGTCATAATTATGAATATTTAACCATGTTTTCTTCCAAGTGAATCCCACATTTACTTAACCAAACATATCGCATCGATCTTCTCGTACATATAGTACTGTTTTTCAGAGACTTTTAGTTAACAAAGGTTCCTAAATATTGTGTTACCTTCATTTGTGGTTCTTATGGAACATGGAAGGGTATTTGCCCAACCTGCTCAAATGTCAGTTTTTCGATGGCTGTTAGGTGTTTTATGAGGGTTATATAGCTGTTCTGGTATTGTCTTGTATTGAATTTTATTAACTACTGAAAAATACTATAAGAATGAAGTGACAGAATTTACTAATCAATTGATTGACTTACTTATTAAGCTCCCATGGAAGTCTTGTCACTTTAAGTTAGAAACAATGTACTCAGGGAATCTTATTAACTAGACTAACATGGAAATTATCATGTACATAAAAATAAATTTGTAATATTTGATGCAGAACTTTTCATTTAATTAGAAGTCTCAGTGTATTTCAGAACTCATTTGGTAATTTAGAAATTTGATCATTTTTAGAAAAGCAAAATTTTGAAATAAGGTATGCTGAATTAGAGGTTTCAAGCAACATAACTGTCAGCTTTTTATGGGAGAGTTTTCCTTTATACATAGGGTCTTTTTGGTTTAATTGATAAAACTTAACTCATGTTAAATGGCTCAGGAAGATGAATAAAGAGATTTTGAGTATATATTTTCATTATACATATTTTAAAACAAAGTTCTTTCTCTAATAAGCAGTTATTAAATTCTGTAGGGTACAGATTTTTTGATAGATAGTCATATGTTACAAAGGTTAAAACACATGATGTTTATTTCTTTTATGTCTGTAGCTTTGGGTTTTGCTCTACAAAAATGATTTATTGGAATTTCTATTTATTTATTTATTTTTAAGTCAGCAGATCATAGAGGCGCCTGGGTAGCTCAGTAAGTTAAGCCTTGAGTCCTTTTTTTTTTTTTTTTTCCCCTAAATAGTTTATTGTCAAGTTGGTTTCCATATAACACCCAGTGCTCATCCCAACAAATGCCCTCCTCCATGCCCATCACCCCCTTTCCCCTCCTCCTTAGCTCTATCAGCCCTCAGTTTGTTCTCAGCATTCAAGAGTCTCTCATGGTTTGCCTCCCTTCCTCTCCCCGACTATTTTTCCCCTTCTTCTCCCCCATTGTCCTCCATTAAGTTCCTCCTAATCCACCTATATGTGCAAACATATGGTATCTGTCCTTCTATGCCTGACTTATTTCACTCAGCAGATCACCCTCAAGTTCGATCCATGTTGCTACAATGGCCAGATTTCATTCTTTTTCATTGCCATATAGTATTCCATCGTATAGATAAACCACATCTTCTTGATCCATTCGTCCATTGATGGACACCTAAGCTCTTTCCATGTTCTGGCTATTGTTGAGAGTGCTGCTATGAACATTGGGGTCCATGTGCCCCTATGCATCCTCACTCCTGTATCCTTTGGGTAAATTCCTAGCAGTGCTATTGCTGGGTCCTAGGGGAGTTCTACTGTTAATTTTTTGAGGAACCTCCACACTGTTTTCCAGAGGGGCTGCACCAGTATACATTCCCACCAACAGTGTATGAGGGTGCCCGTTTCTCCACATCCTTGCCAGCATCTCTAGTCTCCTGATTTGTTCATTTAAGCCACTCTGACCGGCATGAAGCGGCATGACCGGCATGTGGTTTTGATTTGTATTTCCTTGATGATGAGTGACGCTGAGCATCATTTAATGTGTCTGTTGGCCATGTGGATGTCTCTTTGGAGAAGTGTCTGTTCATGTCTTCTGCCCATTTCTTCACTGGATTATTTGTTTTTCAGGTGTGGGGTTTGGTGAGTTCCTTATAGATTTTGGATACTAGCCCTTTATCTGATATGTCATTTGCAACTATTTTTTCTCATTCTGTCAGTTGCCTGTTAGTTTTATTGATTGCTTCCTTTGCCCTGCAGAAGCTTTTTATTTTGGTTAACTCTCAATAGTTCACTTTTGCTATTGATTCCCTTGCTTTTGGGGATGTGTCAAGTAAGAAATTGCTGTGGTGGAGGTCAAGGAGGTTGTTTCCTGCTTTCTTCTCTAGGGTTTTGATGGCTTTCTGTCTCACATTCAGGTGGTTTATCCATTTTGAGTTTATTTTTGTGTATAGTGTGAGAAAATGATCTAGTTTCATTCTTCTACATGTTGCTGTCCAGTTCTCATAGCACCATCTGTTAAAAAGGCTGTCTTTTTTCCATTGGATACTCTTTCCCACTTTGTCAAAGATTAGTTGGCCATACATTTGTGGGTCCAGTTCTGAGTTCTCTATTCTATTCTATTGGTCTATGTGTATGTTTTTGTGCCAATATCATGCTGTCTTGATGATGACAGCTTTGTAGTAGAGGCTAAAGTCTGTGATGGTGATGGCTCCCATTCTGGTTTTCTTCTTCAATATTACTTTGGCTATTCGGGGTCTTTTGTGGTTTCATACAAATTTTAGGATAGGTTCTTCTAGTTTTGAGAAGAATTCTGGTGGAATTTTGATTGGGATTGCATTGGATGTGTAGATTGCTTTGGGTAGTAATGACATTTTAACAATATTTATTCTTCCGATCCATGAGCATGGAATGTTTTTGCAATTCTTTGTGTCTTCTTCAATTTGCTTCATAAGTTTTCTATAGTTT